GAGTTCAAGCAAAACTCCCTTTGCTAAGATTCCACACTGCATGTTTTACTTTAGTCTGGTTTCTTCAGGACTATGTCTAGATACTACAACCTGTACATTTCTTGAACACCCATTTTGAAGGTATTTCTGCTCTCCATTTACTTTTTATTGGCTGATTTGAGTTATTTTGTAGTTAAAGGTTTACCACTGAAGTAACTGTGGGATTTATTTTAGTATTCTATAATTTGGCTAGTCTGACAGAAGCTGGGAAGGCGTTTGTAGAAAAGAGCTTCTTTCAGGAAAGCAGAAGACTGGAGCACTTTCGCCAGTAGGATAGTAGAGCATCTGCTTTGTCTCTCATAGCACATAAACAAAGTCTTTGGTTCTACTGGAAATTTTAAGTGAGTTCTCTCAATACTCTAGCACAGGTACTAGGACTTACCCTTGGTAATTCATGATACCAGCTGAAGACATCGATTCCGATAAGTGAGAAGATTCTTGCCAGGGGTGGAAGGATTTGCTTGGTGATATAGTAAGTGGCATTCAGTCTCAGAGTTGGGTCCTGCAGGACTTCCACTGGCCGCCTTACCAGCTGGATAAGTGGTACTCCAGGGGTCCCATAAATGATGACGTATGGCACTCGCTCCCCAACTCGAGGCTCAGAGCGCCGATCATAAGTAAGCATTTTCCTATTTAAATCCAAATAAGATACACACTCATAGACTGTCACAGAATGCATCTTTCCAGAAACTTAAATGAGAGTTAAACAATAATAAAACCAAGAGAAACTAACAAGGGGTACTTTCAAGTTAGAGTTACATGCAACTTTTTGAGAACTATACACACTGCACTTAGTTGGCACCAACTGGATATGCTCTAAGAGTTTAATAAAACTTACTCTGTTAACTTATTGCTACCTAGAGAACAATGTAAGTTGGCAGCTGTCAATTAGCTTAAATGGTCTTCTATTCCCTAAGAGTAAGAACTAACGATCATAAATCTAACAATTAAAGGTAAGAGAAAATTTAGCTGGTTAAATGATCTGACTCCAGAATGATACCATCTAAGTGCTTTGGCAGCTCCATATTAAGGACTACCCTGAGATTCTGATGTGGGAAAAACAACCAACTCAAGCTCTGCACCAGATTATAATTTCACTGAATTTAGTTTCTGCAGGAAAGGCAAGAGGCCTTTCAGAATCCCAGGACCACACTTGCTAGGTACTGAGGCTTGTGCTGTTGTGTATATCATTACCTTGTAAGTTCCAGGGCTGGTACACAAGCTCCAGGCTTATAAGAGGAACTTCCTCTGTATTCCTTGGCAAAGATAAAATCTTGTATGCTGGCCTTTCCTTCCAGAAGCTTCATACACTGTCGCTGAACATACTGTTTAATTAAACTTATGTCTCTTGTTTCAAATAGCAGCTTTAGAGAACGCTCAAGTATCTTAAAAAAAAAAAAAAGAATGTGCTCATAAGGATAAAATGCCCTCTAGTATATTTCATCATTGTTGTTATACTTTCAATGACATAATTACTGGGAAACTTGCTGATCTACCTAAACAATCTGCTATTTACAGTGGTTGGATAACAAAAATGATTGAAACTGGAAAATATTTGAGACTTTATATAGCTTGCTATTTCTAAAAACAGAACATGTAGTTTGAGGAAAATCAGACTAGAAAGACATGCAGATGAAACATTTGCTGTGTAGGAGCAACATGAAACATTTACGCTGTCTTGAATAGCCAAAAGATATTCAAGGCACAAAAAGCCAGACATGATTTCATGTATTGTTTTTTAATTTACCCTGTTATGGAAAGGTCTGGATTCAGGTGGAGAGAAGTTTAAACATCACCAAGCAGTGAAATAAAAATCGAGTCTTTTGCCTTTTTATAGTGTCAATAAATATATACTAACTGTGACAGAATTTTCTGTGCTGGGAATATTTCCACTAGGAAATGACTGACATGCAGTGGATTTATGTAGTGGCTTGAATTTAAATTAGTTCCATGTGAAAGGTCTATACATTATTGTGAGTATTGCAACCCATATGTATTTACAAAACAAGTTTGCTACTTAGTCAAGGTACCATTCTTCCCTCAGAGAACGAATACACTGGATAACATCTTTTCCAGAAACTAGTATTAAAAAATGTCTCAAATTCATGTATTTTACATATGACATAATATACTGA